ATATATATATATATATATATATATATATATATATATATATATATATATATATATATATATATATATATATATATATATATATATATATATATAGTAAATTCCATAATTAGTCTTTTATAACATGGGGGTTTCCTATTTAGTCCTCAATTATCAAATATTACCTCTGTAGTCCTTTTTTTACAGGGTGCCTTTGCACAAATGGTCCTTTTTGATCTTCTGTCATGTTGGTGTTAATTTAGAGGCTAAAATTATATTTTGACATCAACACTATGTCTAGTGATGTGTTTTGATATTGGATAAGCGGATAACACAAAAATAATGACTATGATTGTGGGCTAGAATTCTGACGAAAGACAACATTTGTAGACTATGGTTATAGTAGAAAGCGACTGTAATTCATAAACGATGGAAATGGAACAGCCTTTGGAATTGTGTATGACAAAAAAAGATATATTATCATTGTGAAATTACACTTTTAGCCTTCAAATTAACACCAACATGATTGAAGATAAAAAAAAAGACTATTTGTGGAAAGGTACACATAAAAGAAGGACCACTCGGGTAACATTTAATAATATATAGATGACTAAATAGGAAAACTTCCCTGTTATAAAGATGGACCAATTATGGAATTTACTCATATATATGTGTGTGTGTGTGTGTGTGTGTGTATAGGGGTGGGTTCTAATAAGAATATATGTCAATGAAAGAAATAAGAATGAATTAGGAGGCTAGGATTAGATCAATCGTGTGGCTGAGATCAAAACTTTAAAATAGGAAGTGTAATTATTATTTTACACTCCTTTTGATGGTAGAATCGCGGAAGGGCATATTTAGGAGATTTGATTTTACTGAAATGCGTAGATGTTGGAGAATCCCGCCTAATAAGCTGCAGCCTCAGAATAGAACTCTTCACTTCTCAATAAACCTCGCTGTTTACGCTGCTTTTCCTGCGGTCGTGGTGCAGAGAATTTACATTATCAACGTTTTTTTTGAAGCAATTCGGTCGGGCTTGTGCGGTTTTCGTACCGGTGAAATTGTATTGTAGAAATGGAGGGTGAAGGAGTACTTGGTATGTGCCTCTTTTTTTTTGTTTGGGCGAACTGGGTTGTGCGTGGTGGGTTTTTTGTTTTGCATGTGTTTGAGGATGCATTTGTTACTCATGATACTCGTTGATTGTTGGGATAATGGTGTCTTACTGGTGAATTTGGCTGCGGGTGAGGGTCTGGGGTTTTGGGTTTTAAATTTTGTTCAAGTGTTTGTGTTCTATAAGTGTAGATTTTCATTAATTGGTTGTTGTAGAGAGCTCAAAATTGTGTTTTTATTGTTTGGGTTGAAGTTCGTGAATTTCTTTCAGTAGTTGTGAACATGTATATGTGCGATTCATGTATTGCATGTGGATATTTGGTTTTTTTATGTTGTTATGCTGTTTTGGTGATTGAGGCATGTGTACTGTGGTGTTATGCTTTACATTTTAAGTTGTGTGCGAAGTGTTCCACAGTTGTTTCCTGTAAATAGGCTTTGGTGCATTTTTTTGATATGATTGAGTGTTTTTTTCTGGCTAAGGTGCCCTTTTCATATATGCACTAATTTATTGTGAAGGTGCAACATGTTTGACATTTTTAAAGAGGATTATATTGTTGTGGTGCAATAGACATCCTTCTGAGTTTTAAATGAGCATTGTATTGTTGAATTGTTGTTGTAGTACTATATAAATAGTATAGGTTTTCCTAAAGTATTCTGCTTTTAAGATATGCAGTCGATGCCTATGGTGATTGTGTGAAAGTTGTGGTGTTTCTTACATTTTTGTTTGTGTGTATTTGTGAAGTTATATTGCATTGAGTGGATAAAGCAGTGTCCTGATGCCAATGTATGCCATGGTTTGGCTTATTTTGTGGTGTTCGTTCTGCTATTTTATGGGTTTTACACTGGTGAAGAGTTATTGTTTAGTTTTCATTTTGTTACTAATACTGTGCATTGCAATCCTAATAGTTATATACTTTGTTTGCATTTTATATATTTATGAGATTCATTTGGGATGAATAAAAGGCATGTTTTGGTCTGAGCAATTGTGATAGTGTGTGTGAGGAAAATGTTATAGATGCAGTCAGGGATTGTGGGTGCGGACTGATGCATATACTGTATTAGTTGGTGTTTCTTTAGCTTTGTACAATGCATGGTTCAATATTAGCACTGATGGAGACTTACTGTGCATCTAGCTTTGTTAATAATATGGTACTATATCAATCTGTGGGTTATTAATCTGCTTTGTGATTGGTATTATGTTTAGGTTTATTGAAATGTTGTGTATTTAAATTTTGTGCATTTCATACTAATACATAAGTGATTGGTTATTTAAAGTGTAAAATGGTTTTGATATTCTAGTTTGCTGTTGTTTGATGTGGAATGGTTGTTTGGGTGGCCACACAAACACCACACTGGCATTTTTATGTTTTGTGTTGTGATTTGGCATTGTATCCTTGTTTATGAGTTTTTGTTTTTGGTTTTTTTGTTGGGGCTGCAGATCTTGCCTTGAAAAGAAGTTCCAAGCGCAGCAAGAAATCTGTTGTAATGGCTTCACCGATTCGAAGAAGCGGTAGATTGCAGCTTGCAGAGATTATGAAAAGGCCAAAAGTACACGCTGCGCATGTCGACCTGGTCGATGATGACGAGGATTCTGTGGAAGATAGAGGTGCAGATGGGAATGATAATGCTGGTTCAGATGTGTCTGGAGATGATGCAGTGATTGCGGGAGATGAAGGCGGGAATGCAGAAGAGGAGACTGACAGTGATGATGCATTTGATGACCCACCTCAGAAGACATCAACTGACCCTTCACCGAGTGCTTCGAGGAAGAATGCTGCAACAGTAAAGAAACGAAAGAGGGAGGGGATAACCAAATTGAAGGAGAAGTACTTACGAATTCAGTCAAGAGCTTCTCCAAACGTTTTGCAAAAAGTGGTTGAATCTCTGAACGAAGTTCAGAGGAGGGAAGTTGTGAGAATTGGGTTTGGGTCTATGTTAAAGATCAAGTTAATAGAGCTTCCAGCGAAACTAGGATATTGGGTGGTAGAGAAATTTAATCCTAGGAGTAGCAGTATTGAACTTGCAGATGGAACGAAGGTGCGTGTTACGGTGGATGATATTAGACATGTTTTGGGTTTGCCGTGTGGGCGTGCTAAGGTAGTCAGCAAAAAAAAGGTGAGAAGTGTGATATACTGGATCAGTTGAGGGTAGAGATTGGAAGTAGATACAACAAGATCACCCCTTTAGAGCTTAGTGAAAAGGTTCTGCAATATACTGATGGTGGCGTGTGGTTTGTTCGTCTTTTCGTGTTGTTAGTCGTCTCAATTTTGGTCGATAGCTCGAGCCATGGGTACGTAAACAATTGGGTGTTGAAAAGCTTGGAGGATGTGGATGGGATTGCGCAGTTAAATTGGTGTGAATATGTGCACCGATCATTGATTGACAGTAGAGTGAAGTGGGAGAAGGGGAAAAGAAAATACTATACTGGACCTTTATTGTGCTTGTTGGTAAGAGTTATGTTTTCTGACAACTCCAATTTACTTCATTATAATGTAGTTGTGTTTTTAATGTAGTCTTTGTTGAAACACGGGCTTGCCACGTTTTCGTACTAAAGCCGTGTTCGTTTTTGTAACAGGTTTTGATAATGCCAAACCGCCGTGATAAAGTCGAACATTGAATATACAAGGCGAAGAACGAAGATAAGAGCAAGAGCTAAACAAAGACCAAGAACGAAGACCTTAATCATAGTATTGAGTGGGTCTTTATTGTGATCAAGACCGACCCAATCTTTACACCTTGGCTCTTTAGGCTAAAATCTCTCATTGCATTTCTTACATCATAGAAACGTTTTTCAAATTTGTTTAAGTCATTAAAAACACTTGGTGTTCGCCCAAACCAAAAACCAAGCCATCCAGTGTTCGGCTTTTAGAAACCAGCGTTCGGCTTTCGGTTGTCGGGTTTGGTTTTTGGCATCCGAACCAACCAAGTGGTTTTCAGCATTTTATGATCTGCTTTCACTCTTTGGCATGTTTAAACGGTTCTCCAACAAAAACACTTTGAAAACCATCTCTCGCTTTTAGTCGTTTGACAAAAACCACGCAAAACGGCGTAAACTTGGCTAGCCGTGGTTTTTACTCAAATGACGTGATTTTTAAAGTGTCTCACTTGATTTCTTAGCCAAATACATCAAATAAGTGTTTTAAACACTTGGTTTTTATTTTGGAGAACTTTGGATTTTTCGGTCGGTTTTTGCATCGGTTGGCTAGGCC